GAAAGAAGCTTTAGGCATTTCTCTTCTTCTACTCGCGTGCGATGGATTTTCTATGTTAAGAGGCTATCCATGACTAACAAGAATTCCTTACCAAAGTTGTCTAACATTGCCATGTCACAATAGACCTGCTCCATTTTGTTTTTCACTGGGATCCAGTAAAGACCGCTTTTTGCTTCTTTATGGGCGTACTTTATTTCTGCGCATGACTGATACTATAAAATTAAAAACAGCAACAACAACAACAAGAAAAAATCAGACCAGCCCAAATTGGCAAATTAATAAATTAAAATTAACTAATTGTCTTGTCGCCATTTTTTTCACCTTCTTCTGCCCTTTTAGCATTCTCTAGCTAGTTCCTGCTGACCGAACGCTCAACCAGCATACGGAAGGTCATGGACAATCGTGGACTCTAGTGATTGTCTTTCTTTGTCTCATTGCAAACTGATTTCAGTTACTCACTGCATCAATGCTAGTCTTTGAAGTATCGTTTTCCACTCAAGGAAAACCGATCGGAATTCGAAGTAGAAGGACAAATGGCATTTATCAACTAAAAATGATAACATAGGGTTGAGGTTGAGGGTTTGGGCGAAGAAGAAGGTCGTAAAACAAGGTGGGCTTGATGCTAAATCGATTATAGAAATGGCGGTAAATTTGAATAATAGGCTGTACATTTAATACCTTAGCCTCGCATTGATGTGCAATATCCTTAGTCTGGAAACATAAGCAGTTTTGCTAAAAAAAAACTTCAGTTACGCACGCTGGTAATAACTGATCAGCAAGAAATTAAATTTCAGCCCGATTAACAGCAAATCTAACCTCGGGGGTCTGGTAAGGGTAGTTGCTGTATACATGTCCTTGCCTTGGTCCATAATCCCACGGGTGCGTTGATTTATCGGCGTCATTCAGCTCACAGAGCAAACCTTCTAACCGAAAGTTAATACTTTTACACCGAGGTTCTCTCGCACATTTGCCCAAACACTCGCCAATATTGGCTGCATTTCCACTTGATATCACGTGACCCTTCAAGTAACTTCCTCTTGCTGACAAGGTCTCTTTACAATGCTGATTGGCATGTGTCATAACAACTGAGACTAGTAACCACAGTAAACAATTCATGCCGTGTTGAAAGTGAAACGTCCTGTAAGTAACAAGGCAAGGAATCGTTCCTGGATGATTATCATTCCTTACATAGTTAATAGAGGGAAATGGTTAGGAAGACCGGTAAACATCAAAGAAGCAAACATAATCGCAATGCTGCTGTTGGCTAGGTGTACGCGCACGCATTGCTACCCGTGCATTTTGTCAGGTTCTGAGCAGGGTCAATCCCCAAAATAGCCAACAAAATAGCCAACAAAATAGCCGACAAAATAGCCGATAAAATAGCCGATAAAATAGCCAACAAAAACATACAACAAAACAGCCGACAAAATAGCCGACAAAGTAGCCAACAAAATAGCCAACAAAATAGCCGACAAAATAGCCAACAAAATAGCCAACAAAAACATACAACAAAATAGCCAACAAAAACATACGAAATAACCAACAAAGACATACAAAATAGCCAACAGAAACATACAACGAAATAGCCAAAACATTAAAAAAAACTTTGCCACGTTTCCTATCCATGTCCCCTATTACACGCGACCAGGAGGGAGGGGGCGTCTCTAAGCAAAACACTGGTTGAGTCATGGCTGCCACTGTGACGTCACGTTCCGCTTGGATGAAATTCAAAATGGCGCCCAAGGGGTTGCGTTGAAGAGGTTGATGAAAGTGCAGAATTTTGCTCTGATATTCTGCCCCATTTGCTTAGTTTCGCTAATATTTTGATTTTTATTATATCGAGGAACCTTTATTTGGTACTTTTTTGTCAGCCAAAATATTCAAAAGGAAGATAATTTGATAATTTTGTCGTAACATTTGTCGACCAAAACTGTTAGCCGATTGACCTTTCAAGTACACATGAGGAGATATTCCATGTTATAATCCATCAAGCACTTTTGCCCGCGCGCGATTGGTCTAAAAGCGTCATGTGACTGAATATGCCCCAGCTAAAGAGGGAAATATCCGAGGGATATTTTTTCCCCATCATCAAAACCACGCACGCCTTTTGCGAAAAATATTTGAAGGATAACAAACACAATAGCCTCCATTTGAGGCGAAAATAAGCTCAGATATTTTTCCTTGAACGTTATCTTTTCCTCAAAGCTCGCAGTTTTCACCGAGCTACGCTCTCGGAAAGCTGTTCGCTTCTTGGAACAGATAATGTCCACGGACAAATATCCGAGCATATTTTTCCGCTAAGTGGAGCTTATTGTTTATATATACCACGAGAGAGCATTGCATAACTATTTTATACCATGCCATGGAAAATCCAGTGGCCAACACGGTCAGTGCGACATACGCGTGGTGCATGATGGGAAGGTTGGATGTAATACCGTCGAATATACAACGGCTTTCCTGTATTCTGATTGGCTGTATTTTCTATAGTACGGTATAAATAACTGTATCATGCTGTTTTCAAATTATTTGTCTACTGTTGAATTGCCGGCGTTAGCATTAGTTAAATCAATTAGTGGTTGGTGCACCTGAATGTTTTATTCAATTTCTCAGGCCGTAATGCATCGTTTACAACTTTTCTGGTGTGTTACGTACAGAAAAGCGTTTATTTCAGCTATAACCTTATTCAGACCGTGCTTCCTTTGAGCTTTCACCGCCGATTGGGAGGGGTAAGGGATTTTTCCCCCACCCTCTCTGTAAAAAAGTATTATTATAAAAATTTAAGCTAGTGGAATGAAGCTTGAAAGGTGTTTCGTACATCCCAAGGTCTCTTAGATGACGTGGAAATTACGGCTGTTGATACACGACAATCAACAACTTTCAATTATCTTTAGACACTTAAGAGAGGAGAAGAAATCTGGGGCACGTCTCTTGTCAGAGTCCCTTAATTGTGGAACCATTCGGGGGTGGCATACCCCCTATAATGGCCTATACGGGGAGGCCCCGCCCGAATGGGCTACCTTTTCAAGGCTTCAGGTACATAAAAGAGTAGGACCGGGATTTCACAAATTTAGGTATATAAAAGGGTAGGAAAATCTGTCATATTAGGTAGAACGTGAACAGGAACTGAATAAATGGCACTTGTTCTTTGCTTAACATCTCTTCTGGTAATGTTTGATGTTCTCCCGTAGAATTTTTCATTTACTTTATTCCAAGGGCTTAGAGAAGGTTTTACAGTGTCCTTAAGTAGGTACATGAAAGGGGTTCCTTTTCTGTCAAAGTGGTATACAAAAGGGTAAGGGGTTGGA